CACGCCGAGGGCACCGGCCTGGGACGCGACTGCCACCGCGGCCCTTTCCCGAGTGAGCAGCGAGCGCGCTCGGGCGCTCGGCCGAGGGAAGGCGCAGGCGGCTCGGCACGCGCAGGAGCGGAGCCCGCGCGCGGAGAGCCCGTGCCCTGTCATGACCAGAGGCGTCCGTCTCTAGGTAGGGGCACCTTTGGGTTTGTTCTGTTTCGCTTCCGATTTTGCTCACGGCCCGGGGAGGTCCGTGTGGGGAGGGTGTCCTCGACCTAATCGCGCACTAGGACCCGTGCCTCCCCGGCGCCCTCGCCCCGGTACCACCCGGGAGAGGCTGGAAGTTGCGGGGCGAGCGGGATGCATGCTGCAGGCGGAGCTGGAGGATGCCCTGCGGGGCCGAGGTGGTGCCCAGGGTGCGCTTTTCTGGGCAGCAGGGTGTGGGTAGGAGCACCACCGGCGGTGGGGCCGGGGTCCCAGTTGCGGGGAGACTCCCAGCCCTCGGCGCCAGTGGAAACTCCAGCTCAGGGTAGTGGCCATCTCCAGGGTCTTCGTCTGCCCAGATTGACCGGTGGATCTCTGCTGCCAGCCAGCACCTTCGTTGCCATGTCTGAATAACCCGCGTGAGAAAGGGGATGAGAATTGGGAGGGGCCAGAAAGGAGAAGAAAATTGTCGCCTTGATGTCCACCGTGTCTGGAAAGACTGAGGGTGCGGTGAGTGGCACACCTGAGGACAGGAGCCCTAGCAGGTGTCTGTCTGTGGCGTGGGAGGGGCTGGAGAGTCGGGGGTAACTGTGACCTCTGGGCTCCCTCCCACAGGCTAGGGGCCGCGGATAGAGACCCCTCGTTTTGGAAGGGAGGAGGAGCCGTTTGCAGTCCCATAAGCGGAAGCCGTCCAGGTGTTCAGGTGGCAGAAGGTCTGTACAAAGTGGCAGCTCACCGGGAGCAAGAGAACAAGTGGCACACTGCAAAAGCCTTCAGGCTGTGTGCGTGGGGGTGGTGCCCACGAGGTCCCAACCTCCCTGGCTCGTGTCTTGGAGATAACTGAGCGATGGGGCAACAGCTAAGCTTCCTATCTGGGGAGCCGATCGCTTGTCTTAGAGAACAGACTGGGGCCCTCTTTCCTGGTCCCACTTTGGACCCTCCAGAGTCCGCGCGCTCGCTTAGACGGAGGTCTAGAACTGTGACCCATCTTGGCCCCCATCCGCAGAGAAATTGTACCTGGCCCTCTCTAGGGCTCTGGGCATCTGGAGGGGCAGTGGCCCTGTTGTTGCCTGACATACAACCATTGCTTCCTTTCGGTTTCTGTCAGGTTTGTGTAGCTCTGAGACTGCTCCCTGCTCCTCCCCACCCCCTCCCCAGCACTCCTACTGGCTTCCTTCTGGTCTTCCTCCGGCTCCCCCAGACTTTTTGGAGCAGCCTCTGAATCTGCGCCCTCATGCTGTCTTGCTCCGCCAAACTGTGTATCGTCCGCTGTCTCCGGTTGAGGTGTCATCCATGAGCTCCTCCTAAACGAGCACCGTCACAGTGAGCCCCAGCCGGTTAGTGAGGAGCCAGCGGGTAGCTGCCCGGCTCCTGCAGGAGCAGACTGCAGAGGTGTGTCTGCTTAGGGTGACAATGGCTTAGGGAAGCGCCTCCTCTTCTCTCCGCTCCTCCTCCAGCCGGCCCTGCACATCAGTCTCCTGTGCTCAGCTGCCCTGGGGGGCAGGCGGGGGCTGCCAAATACCACCATCTTTCCTGGAAGGTCATGTGTTTGCCAGTCCAAAAACTTAAAACATCCAAGCATTGGAAAACAGACCCTGGGGAATCTGTTTAGTAAAAACATACTGCATGTGTGGCTATTCCAAAAGATCCTGCATTGGCCTTGCTTCCCTCTTCCTCTGACACTCAAGTGCTAGATTTTGCTTTGCATATTTTAGCCCTAATATAAATATAAAGAAGTGCCAGCTAGAGAGGAAAGCTGCTAGGGACTTGCCTAGAATTCTGACTGCCTAAACACAAAATCTAGAACTGGTTCCCTTCCCTCTGTTAATTATAAAGTTATTTCCAGCAGAGAAGGAACCTGTCCTGTTTTCAAGGGTCACCTGGAGAAGTGAAAGGTGCTGAACAGGAAATAGTTATGTCTATGATTTTTTTTTTCTTTTTTTTTTTGGTGGTGGTACTAAGGACTGAACCTAGGGGCCTTCACACTGAGCTACAAGCCCCAGGCCCTTTGTTTCTGTATTTTAAGACAAGAGCTTCCTAAATTACCCAGTCTGATCCTCTTGTCTCAGCCTCCCAGAATGCTGGGATTACAAGCATGCACCACCACGGTGGCTTATGTCTATAGGCTTTGGTGGCAATTGATATAAAATTTCTCATTTCAGTGTTGAAGCCCATGGAGTGGGGCCCTGCCAGTGATACCAGGTGTCCTACCCTGAATTTGCGGTCACTAAAATGGAAACATCCCTAAAAACCCCAAGCCCAGCTGTGATACCAACCACATGCTCCCTTCTAAATGTAACTGAGCCACTTCTCAGTTACATTTTGGGCTTATTCACAGGTGATTAGTTCACCTCTCCACCAAGAGACCAAAACCCAGACACAGCAGCTGCAGAGGTGGATGGTGTAGCCTTCAGATTTCGTCTTAAAAGGTCCAATCATGCACAGAACAGTCCCTTGGGTTTAAGAGTTTGCAAACCAGTGCTTTGTTTCATCAGTCATTGCATTCAGGGTTGGACAAAAGATATAAAGCGGTCTTGTTTTTATTCTGAAAAGAAGTCAGAAGTCGAAAACCAGTTTCTTGCTTTCTGCGGGAGGAAGTGGTGATGGAAGCGAAAGTCATTTTCTGTATACAATGAGTGCTCCCCGGGGCAGTGGCAGAGCTGACTTTCTACTGGGGCTTCCTGTGCCCTCAAGCAGCTCCTTTAGCAGGGTGATTCTCATCTGCCAAGCAGAGCTCCATGAGCTGGGGCAGACAGACAGCTCGTGTTTGTGCCCATTCAGCCAGAGAAGAACACCAGCTAAAGACAATGAGCAAGCGAATGAGGGGAGGGGAGATTGGGACCCCTGCAGCCTGGACTTGGTTTCCCAAAAGCAGTGCTCGGTGTGGGCCAGTGTTGTACAGTAGCTGTCATGTGAACGCCCACCATGTGGCTATTAGAACAATCTGCCCAGAAAGCAAAAGGATTATAAGTGTCCACCTTCTCAGCTACCAGGGGCCCTTGCTTTGGTACCATCTCTGTCCTGTCTTGATCATATTCTTGCAGGCAGTTTCTTAAAACAACAGTTTCTCCTTACAAATGAAAACCTTGTGCCATGCACACACACAGTGGCCTCCATGTGGATTCACAGAACACAGTTGCTTACTCCATCGAGTGACTGGAGTGAATCGACCCCGACACCCCCACATGGCCATGTCCCCTTCTCTCTGAAGTCACACACTTCCGCTCTGATTCATGGTCCAGCTTTTTGTTTGGTTTGGTTTGGTTTGGTCATAGTACACTCATCCCACTTGGGCTGGAAATGTGCCCTGAAAATAAGAGCTATTTTTCAAAGTGTGGCAAGCTATCTAGAAAAGATGAGTTTACACATGGCTCCGGCTGGTCGCCAGCCGGAGGAAATCCAAAAGGCCACGAAGGAGAGAGGTTGCAGCAGTTATGTCATTTGCCTCACTTCCCTGACATCAAGGAGTGCTGTGCAGGGTGATGAAAGCTCTCACACCTTCATCATGCTAATTAGAAAGGAAATTAGACTTTTTCAACAGAAAAGCAAATGAGATGCAATATTTCTATCTGTTCTACAAGATCAAAGCAAGCTCCCAGGCGGGCTAAGGAGGGAGGAGTTTTAAAGGGATTGTTATTCACACTGCTCAGCATTCTAAAACAAAATAAACTGATGGACAACCACTTTTAATTCCAAGATGGATTTGAAGTGCAGTGTTATATAATTTAGGAGAACGTCACTCTTTTTTTTTTTTTCAAGCTTAACCCTGTGCTCACTGAGTGATTATTTTGGGATCTGCTCAAAGTTAGATTTGTGACTCCACATAAAATATAGAACACTGAGTAAACCTTTTAGCAAGCACAGTTTGGTAGAGAAGGAGGGACCAGTTGTGATGGACAGTGTGCTGTGGGCAACTGCACATCCTGGTTTGCTCTATGTATCAGTCAGCTTTTTGTCACTGTAACAAAATATGCAATGCAGGCTATGTAGAAAGTAGAGAGGTTTGTGTAGCTCACTGTTCTGAGGGTGGAAGGTCTAGATGGTATTGCTGAGGCTGGAGTGAGGGGCTGGACTGCACCACCTCACAGGGGATGGCAGGGGTAGGAAAGTGAGTGTGCAGGAGCAAGGAAGCAATGAATCCTGAACAAGAAACAGGGACAGCTCCCACAGTCCCTTCAGAAAGCATGCCCAAAACCACCCCGGCACCTCCCAAAGGGCCCCAATCCCCCCATCCAGGTCCCACTCCCTACCAGACTGGGAACCAGCCTTTAATCACAACGCTCAAGCCACACCCAACCATGGCACCCCACACACCTGTCATGGCAGCATAATTATCAGTGTTTGGATTTGACAGTAAATCATGCAGTCACCCACAGAAAAAGTAGCTAGAAGAGGACAGAGGAAGAGGAGGCTGTGGTGGGATTTGTCAGTGGAGGGTGTCCGTGTTCCTGATAGAAGGTGACAGACAAGTAGAAGGTAAAAGGGGCTTAGCAACAAGAAGATGCCTGAGAGCACAGAGGGTCTGCTTGGTCCGTTCGTGTATCCTCAAAGTATTCGTGCCCCCAAGCCAGTGGGAGACATCAAAT